TGTCCTAGGCTTTTTCCCTCCTAACCACAGAGCAGGCACTGCTGCAAGTTTATTGCTGGTGCAGCTCAATTCAGCAAGTGTTTATTAGGTCCCTAAGGAGATGGCAGGAGAAGAGGGTGTGGTAGCCGGAGACCTGGGTTCAGGAACTGCTTTTCCTACTTAAATAGATAACTTTACTGCTCAAAGCCTTAGCTTTCCCTTTGGTAGAGTGGAGAGTATGAAAAAACAATACTCCGCTGGCAGGTTGGTCTTTAGCATTTAAGACATTCCTAGGATACCAAGTCGTGAAAACTCAAAGAAACCAAAATTCTCTCATTTATGGAACTCAAGAGCCACAACTTCTATGAAACCTTCGTGTGTCCTCAGGCAGAAATCTCCTCCTTTAAATTCCGTAGCACCAGCTCTCCCGTGTCTCCACAGGATAGGTGATGGAATGTAGAGGGCAGAGCGTGGAGGCAGACAGACCCAGCAGTGCGACCTTGGGGAAAGTTACTCACCTCCCTCAGTGCCTCTGTCTCTGAAATTCACACCTGTCTCACAGGGTTAGCTCGAGGAGGAGAGGCGATGCTGTTTGCATGGTGCCTTCTACGAAGCCCTGCATGTAGAAGGGGTCCTAAATAAATGGCTTTCTCTCTCTTCAACTCCCTTATTTTTATTTTCCTCACGTCTTTCCTCTCTACTAGGTCTAGAAAGAAGGGCTTACAAAATACTTTTTGAAAATAGTAAAGATTGATCATTTCCTCCCCTTAATTTTTTTTGAGTTAATACAGTTTAAATTTCACATAATTTGCAAAACCAGGGAGTTCAATAAGTCTTCTAACAAACAATATGCTCCCTCTACCTGTGATTTCCAGTCCCTAGGTCAGTTCTAGTAACTCTTTCTTTTGATGGCTACCTCTTGCATTTATTACTGTTGGTTGATTTTTCCATTTGAGACAACATCTACTGACTTTCTACTACAGAAGACGTGAATTTATCTCTTTTTCATCTTTTCCTATACGCCACCCCTCCCTCCACCCTTATTAGTTTCCTGTCTAATTTCCTGCTGTAATAAATTACCACAAACTTACTGTCTTAAAACAACAGAAGAAATGTATTCTTTCACATTTCTGGAAGCCAGAAGTCTAAAATCTGTATCAATGGGCTGAAATGAAGGTGTTGATAAGGTGGCACTCCCTCCAGAGGCTCAAGGGAGAATCCATTCCTTGGCTCTTTTGGTTTCTGGTGGTTAATAGCACTCCTTGGCTTGTGACTGTATCACTCCGATTTAAGCCTCCATCTTTACACTGTGTCTTCTCCTCTGTGTGCCTGTCTAATCTCCCTTTGACTCCCTTTTATAAAGGTACATGTGATTGCATTTAAGGCCCAGATAATAATCTGGGACAATCTCCTCATCACAAAATCCTTAATTTAATCACACCAGCAAAGACTGTTCTCTTTTTCAAATCAGGTAAGAGTTATAGGATCCAGGGATTAAGGCCTGATATCTTTGCATGATATGACTCAGCCTTCTTTATCACCTGCATTCATTATGGATTAATCGAATGCTATTGTTCATCTAGAGTTTTGTGTTGACATCCTTTTTTAAGATTATATAAATATTGTTCACAGCTGAGCCATGTAGCAGTATACTACAGTGGCATTTCTTATCTTGAACAATCTATGTTTTCTTTGGAGTAGACCATTTTTGATTTGTGTTTGTTGTTAGTTTTCCAGCTGCCCTTCACCAAGTCGGTCTCAATCTTTCCAGACTCATGAAACTCCTCTCAGTGTGGATAAGTACATCAGGGGCTCTTCATCGCTCTCCTCTTTTTTTAACTGGATGCTCCAATCTGGACTGGCTGCTCTCTCCTGCAGCATAACTGCCATCCCAAGACTTCTTTCCAATATTGCCCTCAACTTTCCTTGATCCCTTGCCTGTGTTGGAGTCTGCCTCCTGGTGCCCATGTCTCCTCTCCTCACGGTTTTCTCCCTTTTCGAAAAGATGTATTTACTTTTAAAATTGTTTCCCCTTAACAGAGGCACTGAAGATTGAACCCAGGACCGTGTGTAACCCAAGCACGTGCTCTGCCAGTGAACTACAGCCCCCACCCCTCCCGTGTTTTAATAGAGTAAGTCATGGGGTGTTTTCTGGGTGCCTGAGAGATAACATTTTGGAAACCTTTTATTTCTGAAAATGTCCTTATTCCACCTTCGTCTTTGATTGATAATGAAGATAGTACCAAACAAATCCCAGAATTCTCTGAGGGTTGATTTCCAAGGGTCACTCCCAGTACCAAGTACTATATCCACCAGGGTTCAGTCAGAAAAGAGAAACCACATCTTATATTTTAAAGAGATAATTTAATATAAGGAAGATTACATGGGTGCTGGAGACTTGTGAAAGTGAAAAAGGGACCCGAAGGAAACACAAAGATAGTAATTGCAGGAAGTGGTAATGTAATTAGGGCAACAAAGGGAAGGAGTTGGGATCATTAGACCCAGAATCTTGAAGGACCAGCCTCATGATGCTAAGATCCAGACCTCAGACCAAGAGGTGTTTTCAGCTAGGGCTGAGATCTCTGAGGGGTAGCAGGAGGTTGGTTCTGGAGTTCCAGAAGAATAAAATACTCAAAGTCTGGAGAGTGATCAACTGAGACAGCCAGGGAAAGGGCTGTTACAGAGAGGATGCTGACAGGACTAGAAAGATACAAGAGCATGTCCATGCTTTGCCCATTTTCCCGATTTCCAGTCTCTGTCTTTGCCAACTATTGACAGACTCCAATAGGAAGCCAGCTAGCAAAGGAGAAATGAGGTTGGCAGAGTCCCAGCTGTGGGTAGATTGGGGCTGAGAGCAACAACTTGAAAACTGGCACAGTTGTCTTCCAGCTACTGGTGTTGCTGGAAGTTTTAGAATCTTTGCTGTAACCGTGGTATTATAAACTTGCACTTGAAGTATGGTTGGGTGGATATTTCTCTCGATTGAGTTAGGCACTGGTAGGTCCTTTTGATCTGGAAATTTGATTCAGTTTCAGGAAAATTTCTTACATTCCTATGTTGGTAATTTTAGCCCCTCCATTTTTTTGTTTACCTTTCTAGGATTCTCATTATGTATCTTGTTTGTTTACCCCTTGAATTGATTGTCTAATTATTTTATATTCTTATCTTGTGTTTCTTATCTCTTTTTCTTCTTGTGATGCTTACTGTGAGATTTTCTCAACTTTGTATTCTAACTCTTTTATGTTTTAAAATTTCTGCTAATGTATTTTTAATTTTTCAAGACCTCTTTTGTAATCATTTTGTCTTCTTTCTTAAACAGCACTCTATTCAACCAGAAATAGCACTCTGTTTCATAAATCCTGATCTTGTTTCATCCTTTCTTATATCTCTTATGCTATATTAAATATATTTAAATTTTGTCTTTTACTACATTTATTGTCTAGTCTGTCTTTTATGCTATGCTTTTGAAAACATCTTTATTCACAGCTAACATGATTTGTATCTGTATAAATTTCTAAAGAATCTATGAAAATCTACTAGAACTCATAAATGAATTTAGCAGTCATATAAGTTCAGTACAGAAATCAATTACATTTCTAGATGCACCAAACATTTAAAATGAAAAACTACATCATTTGCAATTGCATAAAAAAGGGAGAATATTAATATGTGTAAGATTTGTATCTAGGAAAATAAACATTGGTGAGAAGTTAAAGAAGATTACATAAATGGAGAGATGTAGCACATTAAAGATTAGGAGACTCAATATTGTTAAGATACCAGTTTCCCCCAAATTGATCTGTATACTCAATGCAATCACAATCATAGACTTGTCAGGATTTTTTGGCTGAAATTGACAGAAAATTTATACGGAAATGCAAAGGACCTAGAAGAGTCAAAATAATTTTGAAAAAGAAGACAAAAGACGGCTTACAAGAGCTGATTTCAAGATGTTATAAAAGTACAATAATCAAAATAGTGTGGTATTGACAAAAGGATAGACACATGGATCAACGGTACACAAAAGAGAATCCAGAAATAGACCTACACATGTATGGTGAAATAATTTTGACAAATATAGTCAACTGATTTTTGACCAAGGGTCCAAGTTAATTCCACGAGGAAAAGGATAGTCTAGCAGGTAGTGCTGAACCCTTGGATATTCATGTGGGAAAAAAATCTCAACCCTACTTTAAGCTACACACAAAGGCTAATTCAAAATGAATCATTGAAATGAGATTATACTTGTTTGCTTAGTGAGAACTTTCAACCTTTATGTCACATTAATTCATGAAGATGACTATGAATATAGAAATTTTTATACTTCATGACCAGATAGTAGCAGAAACTGCATATGAGACTCTAAAACAGGTTTTTTCTTTTTTAAACTATTAAGAAGCATCTGTGGTTACCAGGGTCACTCCAAGGCAAAATTTCAAAGCTATTTTTACCAAAAAAAAAAAGCATGTGCTCTCCATTTTCTTTTGATCTTCATTACACCAACAATATTCAAATTCTTATTCAGCTCCTAAGAATATTCCATGACAGCAGTTGTTTGGGAAAATAAAATTTCAGGATATGCTGTGTGCTTCTAGGTGAGCGATAGAATTTTCCTCTGTAGCTTGTGAGTTTTCATTTACCAGCTTTCCACTGTGATATTTAGATCTCAGTGATGAGGGGGTAGGAAAATCTACCCAAAGATTCTGATCTGCTCCAGCACTTTGCCACCCCACCTCCCCACAAAAACATAGCTTTAGGGTTACTAGGCAATTATTAAAAGGTTCTCTTTTGGCAGTCTTATTGCAGCCAGACGATATGTCCAATAGCGTGAGAAAACTGAAGGGAAATAGTTTTTAATAAAAGTGGGGCTGGTTTATGAATTGCAGACTGCAGAGGGCGGGGGCGGGGCGGGAGGGGCGGGGTCCCGCGAGTCTGGCGCAGGCGCGCTGCTCACCGTGCCTCAGACTGAAGGGCGGGGCCGCATCTCTGCACACAGCCCGCCGCCGCCATGTTGGACTGAGCAGCTTCTCCTCAAGGCGTCAAGTCCAGGTGTTGGCGACATGTTAGGTGCGAGGCCTCTGCACACGGACCCCTAGAGGCCAGCGAACCGGACTGCGCTCAAAAGAAGAGGTGAGACCTTATCCTGTCAGCGGGATTCCCCCCTATCTTCCCGGGGGCGCGGGGGGCTGGCGGTGACGCCACAGTGGGCCGAGGCTCCCCCTCTGCTCGGGCCCGGAGCGGACTCGCAGAGTCTGGCTGTGACGGGGAGAAGGGCGGGGTGGGTGGAGGGCTTTGCGCTTCTTTTGGCTTGATTTGGGTTGCTGTTGGATTCTCGTCTTTGGGCCTTGCTTGTTCCTGTGTGGCTCTGTCGTGCCTGGCGTTGGCGGCGCTTGTGTCTGGCGGCGCCGGGATGTGGTCCGAGCTGTGGTGAAGGCCCAGCCCGAGCAGCTGCCTTTTGTGTTGCAGGCTTTCCTCACATCTCGGACACGATCGGTCATCCTTACGAAGGACGAAGTGCTCGCAGGCTGAATGGGATTGGCTGTGTGTGTGGTGGGGGGGGGTGGGGGAGGCGGGCAGGGCTCTTTGGTTGCTGAATCTCACTGGAGGATGTTCAAGTAAGAATCTGGGTAATTGCTGGTAATTAAACAGGAACATCTATGGATATTCTTGTCCCCTTCTACCCCACCATCCTTGGACCTGTCAGGTTCCGCCTAGAGAACCACAGGTTTTTAGACACCAGCCTAAGGGCTGTAAGCCTGATGGCTTCTTCTGAGAGTTAACGAGGGAAAGGTGGAGGTGTGGTACCCACGCTTCCTTACTCAGTCCTGTGTTTTATGCAGCGTCTCACTCCTGCCCATAACTGTGTCTAATATTCATGTTCCCAGAGCTTCTTTGTTTAGTCTGTTCGGAGTAATAAGTCTCCCAATCTCTGCCAGGGTAGGAGATGCTTGGCTGTATGGGCTGGGGAGGGGGTAGATCTGGGAATCTATCTGTTCTTTACACGGATTTCCAATCAGTGCCTCTCTTTCCCTCCCTCTTCCTCACTCTGGCCCTTCGAGGCTCCTGTGGCCACCAGCTGCTGTGGCTTTGGAGCAGCCTTCTCCCTCAAGCAGGGAGACGTGTGAGCACATCTCTTTGGGGCTGCCTGTACTGCCATGTCAGGGCTGAAAACGAGCAGGCATAGCAACCACGTGGCACAGGCCTATTTCAATTGGAAAAGATATTGTAGGAAGTTAGTAAGTACTCATCCTATGGCAGTGAGAAGGATTTATGACATGAGCACTCCCAGGGACCTTCTTTTGGCTCCACTTGACACACTTACTCAAGACAACAGGATGTGAGCAGATCCCTGGCCAATTAAGTACTACCCACCATTGCCTTCCTACCTTGCGTTAAGGACCTGGATGATTCTCACATCCTCCATGAAGCCTTCCTGACTATTGCAGTTAACACTTCTGACTTTCTGGTTTAACTATCCAGGGTGCTAATCCCTCCCTGTGCTTCTCTGGGACATCTTCTCACCTTGGTGTCTAGTGTGATTTATTCATTGTTCAGGCGCTCACTACTTTTACCCCTGGTGGATGGTGGGGTCTTTGGGAGGGTGATAGAACTGAATTCCTCCCTTGTTTATAGTCCACTCTTTTTGTGCAGAGTGTTTTCTTATACACACACACACACACACACACTCACACTCACAAAACCCATTACCTGAACCAGCAGTTACTTGATTATGAATGAGTAATGATTGAGGAGAATCTTAATATTGCATACATACTGTTCTTTATAAAAAACCTTTGCCTGCTGTAGACCAATTACTTTCCATAATTGGGAAGGGGGCCTTGTTGTACCTTTTTGATAGCTGAAAACACGGAGGCTCAGAGAAGTGAGATAACATGCAGCACTGACATCCAGCTCTTCTTTCTGAGAGTCAAATACTCTTTTTTATTTTGGATACAAATATTCATAGAAGCTTTATCTGTAATTGTCCCCAACTGGAAACAACCAAAATGTCTAACCATCTGCAGATGAATGAACGGCAAATGGTGGTGAATCCATATAGTGGAATACTACCCTGCAATAAAAAGGAACAAACTATGGACATACAGCATGTGGATAAATCTCAAAATAATTATCCTGAATGCAGAAAGCTGTACAAAAAAAAGAGAGCATACTGTAGGATTCCATTTATGGAAAATTCAAGGAAATGTGACAGTAGATCCTGTAGTTGTCTGGGAATGGGAGTGAGAGTCAGAAACTCTTTGCTGCACACTACAGCTGACTCTCAAAAAAGGAGGGCTGGCAGGCCCCCATCCCAACCAGCTTGCAGAGGGACAGCCTCACCCTGGCAGCCCATAAGTAGGTAAACAGAGCTGTGACGGGACGAGGCTGGCAGATCCCAGGGGTCTAGTCTCCCAGGCTCCTGAGACCCCACTTCCTCTCAGACAAATGTAGGACTGTTTTGTCATAAAAATACAAATGTAGTCATAAAACATGTCATTGTCGGGGGAAAAAATTCCCAGGCCTAGGAATGTGTGTATGTATATGTGAGACAAGCTAAGACAGGTGTCCCCCTCTCCCCCTCCTCTGGCCCCGTGGCCAGGTGTGAGCTCACACTAACCTATGACATGAAGGGAGCCCTGAAAGGCCAGTGGCATCTGATACCCTCCATATCAGGCTAAGAGCAGTTTCCCAAAAGCTTTGCATTCCCTGGGTCAAGAGCTCTGTCTTCCCCTCCTCCAAAAAACATGTGTATTTCAGCAGAAATTTAATCCCTGGGGTTCCAACTCCTTCACACTTACATCAGTTAAAATGGCATTTCTGAGGGGACATGTGATCCTACAGAAGCCTCTGGAGACTAAGCTTTGCTTGGTAGCCTTTCTCCTTTCTTGACCTGAAACAAAAAAAGAGGAAGTCACGTTTTCTTTTCAAAATGATCTTGACAAAGTCTTCCCTTCAAGTTGGCCTAGATGGAATCTTTTCCTTTCATGGATTCTTTGGCCACATTGTCCTCTTGCTTTGCCCGATGGAAGCAGCTGACAGGCCTCAGGCTGTGGCCTGTAGGCCTTGTCTCTGAGTTCCAACTGCCTGGCTCCTCCATAGAGCTGACCCGAGGGAGGCTGGGCCTCTGCACAAATCAGGCCAGCTGTAGTTTTGGAAGGACCCCAGAGGTCATCTTTCACTTCCTTGCCCCCCACTTCCAGAGGTGAAGAACTTAATGTCTAGAGGGGAGGTGTCTTCCTGAGATCACACAGATAATTCAGATAATTAATAGGGATTCCTGTTTTTTGAGAACTGAAACTGAGACCAAACAGGACCCTGTGGATTCCCCGCTAACCCCTGCCTCTTGTTTATAGAAAAGTTGAAGTCTCCCAGGCCTCCCTGAGTCATAAAAGAGCAGGCATATGCAGTTGATGATCAATAGAGTCACAGACTGACTGTCTGATGCACATTCCTGAGTCGTTTTACCAGTGACCAGATCTCTTCCCTAGCCTCCCCTTCAGTAATCTCATGAACTGTTACCAAGGCTATTGCCCCAAGGATCATACCCCTTCCCCTCCCTTGAATAGCAACCAGTTACTCCTATCTAAGTCTTAGGAGGAAGCTGCAAAGAGAGCAAACAAGACCCGATTGGAACCAACTGGGCTCAAGATGGTAGAGGATTTGCCTTCCAGTAAATCTAGAGCCTCATTATACGCTCATTGTAATGCATTAGTATGTTAGATGACACACCTGCCACCCTGACAGTCGATGATTGCCATAACAACAGTCAGAAAAGCCCGTACAAGAATGGGAAAAAAGGTGATTGGCTCCAGCACACTGGGAACAAGGACAGGATGGCAGAAGCCTCCTATAAAAGTCCTCGTGGCCTGTCCTAGAGCTGGAGCTGTCTTGACTGGACATCTTGGCTGATGGTTCCCTGCTGAAATGCTTTCTTTCCTTTTCATCTTTTGAGCAATAGGGCAGTTTTTCACTTTGTTCCTCTGATGCTAATTCTTTCACAGCTGGTGGCAAGGACCCACACTTTGGTGGGCTTCGTAATTTAGGCATCTCACTATCCACTCACAAAACTGCCAGACATTATGCTAAATGGTCTACATTTATTATCTTATCTTGTTCAGTAATTCATCAGCAAGTCATTGTTATCCCCATTTTACTGATGGGAGAAATGAGGTAATTTGTCTAAGGACTCACAGCTTCCATGGCAGGATGGAGATTGGAACCATGTGCCCAGATTTGTTGCTCTTAACAAATGTGCTGTTTGGTTTCTGCAGGACTTGGGGGGCAGTGACAGTGTCCCAAGGCTCCCAACACCTGTCCTCTAATGTCTTTTATGATTTTGATGTTAAGAGTATTTTATGTAACCACTAGAAGTCAACATACAAGTCTAGTTCCTTGAATCTGTTTTCACCTGACTCTAGTAATACTAGGTGGTGTTGGTTTAGCTTTCCATATCGTGGTTTTCTTCCTGCCCTAGTCTACCCCCTCCATATTTCCTTCCTCTTTGTCTTCTATCACTTACTGGCATCCAGTTCTCTCTTCCTTTCAGAAAGTTTTCAAGAAAATATCTACTCTTGGTGATTGATAACTCGCTGTGAACGTCAGCCAATCGGGACTCCTGGTTGGGGTATTTGTCTTATCTCAGATGGTAGAATAGAGAGATTTTTAAGGAAGAAGGAAAAAAGGAAGGAAACTCCATTTACTCGTATGGACTTTGTGTCAGATATTATGCTAAATTCCGTTACATAAAGCTTTACTTAAAAAATGCTTTCCTTTCTTCCTCCCCCTTTTACAGATAAGGACACTGAAGCTTAGAAACGTTAAGTAACTTGCCCAAAGCCATCATGTGGTGACTTCTACTTGTGGGATTCTTTCCACTGTACCGTCAGCTAGAAGGGGAGGATTTTGAGGGTAATAAGGTCGAGAGGGAGGGGCTTCTCTGTGTCCTTGAATCAATTGTGAGAGGCTGACCTCTGCTGGAGCATATAGCACTTGAACACCAAAAGGGAGAAATAATTTTCTTAGCCTCAAGTGATCTTTTTTTACATTTTGGAGAGAAATCTATTTAACATAGGTATGCAAACGCCTCCTACCTATAAAATACTGGCCTAAATGCAAAGGTAAAGCAAATA